GAAATAAACCAATATCCCGGAGTAATTCATTTACTCAAACAGTACACTGACTGAACTGCTGTGAAGAGAGAACTCAAGATAAACAGCAGCATGTGTGCAGCAAGCTGGATAACGAACGTACACCCACTGCTGGAGCGGTTCTCGTTCTCGAGTCAAGAACCAGTTGCATATCTTCAAGACTTAAATCCTCTTATGCACATCACTGCCTGTTACTGTATTTGGGTGCTTAGTTGCAAAACTTAATTGTAAACTTTTCAGATCATGATTATGATGTTTTAATTGACTGAAGTTATGATTACTGACTTTATATATTTGAATGTGTTTTTTCATCCCGGCCCGGGACGATAGACTTGATATCATTACGTCATCGCGAATGACGTCATTACGTTAGGGCGTAAAAGAACTGATGAACCGTTTTTTTTTAAACGAACTGTCCAAAAGAACCGGTTCGTGGAAAAGAACCGGACTTCCCATCACTACTATTTATAGTGTAGGGGGCGGGCGCTTCGGATTCTAGAGAGCAATTGATTGGTCAGAAGATTTTATTTTATTTTTTAATTATTAAAGAAGACTGATTGAACAAACAAAAATATTAAGTAAATCCAGATACACAAAATATAAGAGCAATCTTAAACTGTAGAACAGTGTTTAAGAGAAGAAAAATAAATAAAATAAACAAATAACCACATCGTAAAAAAAAAAAAAAACTAAACAATAGTTAAAATGTTCTTTTTTCCTTAGGACATATTCACAGATTGAAGCGGGGGAGCTATATCAGAAAAAAAATTCTCCATGAAATCTAACAATATGTAATTATTTTTGTTATTAATTTGCATTAGAGACTTTTTCAAAGCTTCCATTTCTGATAAAAATAGATTACACTTTGGTATGCATTTTGCAAATTTCTATTTATGAATATAATATTTCCCTTGAAAAATGTAAAAGTTAACAACATACTCAATCATTTTACTTTTGTGTGAATAAGTACAAATAACATCTTTTAAAGATAACACATAATCAACATTTCTTCGCAAAAATATAAAGGCACTAACATCAGACCAAAATCTAAGAGACAAATCACAATTATAAAACAAATGACACAAAATAGAAAGAGCTACTTTACATGGGTACATTCTGTGAAGTATTTTGAAATGCACCTCTTTAACTTTATTCAAAATACAAAATAGCATCCACTTGGATGATGAGGTGAGTAACATTATGTCTGCCAATTCAATTATCTATCATGTAGAGTTATTATAATAATAGTTTTCTGATAAAAAAGCAAACGTTCCAATACTACTTATCTGAACTAAGCTAATGTTGTGAAGTGACCAGGGATGCAAACTCATCATGGGTGAAAAAGATGACAAAGACACCTCTGAATTTAATTTACTCTGCATCACTTAATGCACATGTCTATTTTTGACATCGGTTCGCCCAGTGCTACAGTTATCACTGTCAATCATAGCAATGACTGGCAGAACAATTTAGCGGATTTTTACACTCACGTTTGTCACTCCTGAAACAGTATATGTGGATGTTTGGTCCTCTTAAATCAGGTTTCCATCCAAGGATTTTTTTTTGCGAGAAAAAAAGCGCATCAAAATGTTTGCCGATATAGCTGATGGAAATGCTAATTATCTATAAAATTTTGCAAATGTCGACACAATATTTTTAAGTTTAACTTTAGCGTAGGGA